TGCTTGTGGTACATCTTTCTTTATTAGCCCATACACTTGTACGCACGCGCGCAATTATATCCCTTGTATCCAAAGCGACACTGACACCTCTTGTACACTCCGCTAAGTGGTCTACCATTGTTCTTACTATGGTGGGGGGTGGCACCGAAGAGAAATGTTTTTCGTGGCAAAAATTTTGCTGACCCGACCATTAAAAAGTAAAAAATTTGATTACCCAACCTCAAATATCAATTAAAAAATAAATACCCACCCCTGGCCAAAAACTTTACAAAAAGGTACCACTCAGTTGTCACACATGTCCCTTGCCACTTCTGTGACATGAGTTTGATAACGGATTGTGAATTTTTTTGCAGTCTAAAGTTTCATGTTGTCTGCACATGTACTTTCTTTGGAGACACCATTTGTCTCCCAAAAAATTGAAAACCAGTGATCAAGATAGTGACTCCGATTGATTCACATATTGTATTGACATATGACTGTTGACATTGCTTTTTAGTCTCCAATATTTCAGTGAGTCATGCTTTAGAAATTATTATTACCCAACCCTTGAGTTGTTTTGTTTTTCATTTACCCAACCTTTTACTCACCCAAAATTTAGTTTACCCAACCCTTTTCTCTTCGGTGCCACCCCCCACCATAAATAATGACCGGTTCCTAAAAAGCTTCAGTTATGGTGGGACTCAAATATGGAATGATTCGTTTTGCAAAAAGCTTTCTTCCTCATTTTTAAATACATTGTTTAGTTAATATAGAAGTTATTATACATGTTGGAAATAATATAAATTTGTATTTTGTAATATCTTAGCGCATTCAAATTAAAATCTGTGATCACAGGAAGAGCGCTTCATGCTTGTGTCAAAAAACTAACAGGATAATGCTAATAAAAAGCATGTTGGTTCGAGCTGAGCTGTTTTGCAGTGTAATAAACTAATAAATCAAGGAGTGCAAACGTCTTAACACCTGGTTTAAAAGCTGGAACTCCTTGCTTGCCACAATTCCTACGTTCTATTCGGGTGCAAAATATGTTACCTGCACACAGCGTGAAAACGACGACCAGAACTGTGATCCCTAGTAAAAATGGTAGTATATGGGTAAAAGAACACAATTCTACGACTAAAACCAGTAGAGAATAAGATACCATTATTCTGTGTGTGTTGGTGTTATGTACTGGTGTTCGATATCAGTGTATTCTATAATATGATTATATTGTGTATGTTGGTGGTATGTATTGGACTAGTATCCCAAAGGTCGCGGTTTCGATTCCCACCGTGTTTAAATTTTTTACAAGCACATATCATTTTATTTGCCAAAGAAATTTTTTGATTTGAATAAATTGACAAAAAGATGACAGCTCGCTTTCAATTATACAGGGGATGGGATCAGTATTTTATAGTGATGTGATGTTTCAGTCTTTTGAGTTACAGACTAGAACGTAAGCCTTGATGAAATGGGCATCAATCATTCCCTTCTGAAAAGAGCATAGCTGCAATCCTGGCAAAAATTGTTACGGACAGCGCGTGCGTAAATAAAAATACATGCTTTGCCCGATCCTTACAAAAACTCAAGCTCCCCCCCCCTTTCAATGTTGAAAAACTTATACAAAAAGGGTAAAGGTAAAGCTTTGTGAAATACTAGTTATATTACAGTGATATTTTAGTTTCAGCTTTCGTTGGTAGGGGATGCAACTACCAGAAAAATACAAGGGTGCAGCTATAAGGTCCACGGAATTTTTGCCTTAATTGGCTGGCCATAATTCCACAGATTGATATGCAAGCATTTCAGCTCTACAAGAAGTCTTAAAATGCAGTAATAAATCTAAGAAGTCTCGTTAAGCCTAAATGTGGGAAGTCCATGTCTTTGAAGCAAAAGTTCAAATTATTAATGGATATTTCTGAACTGTTTGAACATCATTTACAGATATAGGAATGCTTTTTTATGACAGGTATTTCTTCTCGTCTCATTTAATTTGCAAATTATACATGACAGAACAGAATTTTCTCACAAAAATTCAACAAGCATATAACAAAGTCATAAAATTGAACTATTATGAATTAATTGGAATATTTCAGTCAAATATTTATACAAGGATTAGAAAATATGTGTTCTCCCATTATGCGAATTTTAAAGTTGTTTATGAAAACAAATTTTGCTCCGCCATTCCATCACTTGAAAGAATATTGAAATACGAATGGCAGTGGCGTAACTACTATGGGCTCAGACCGTGAGAACCCGGGGGCCCCAACCTAAATGGGGGCCCCCAGGCTTAGGCAATAGAGCAAAAACATTGGTCAGGGCCTCTGATATGTTACAATGTAGTTTTATGACCATCAAAATTCTGTAAAATCTCTCCCCAAAGTCCAGGACTACTAGGGCCTTCGAAAATTTTGAACCGGGGGCCCCCTGATATAACGTTACGCCACTGACGAATGGAGATGTCACCAAAAAGAAGAAAAGCTCAATCTTAAAATTTGTAACAATTAGTAAGTGCACTTTATATGCAAACATTTTGGCAAGTCTATATGGTTGTCATGACAACTCGCTAGTTACGAGGTCTCTCGCTTTCTGTTTAAATAATGCCACTAAAAAGTTGGGGGAAACTTCGTTCCAAAAACACCTTAATTCAGTGGTAGCTATAATCATCGGCCATATAAGCATACATTTAACTGATGACTTTGAATGCATTGAGATTTGGGTAGTTTAATATTTCGGCATTATTATCGGCATTTCTGATGTTACTCTGAGTATGTATCCACACTGGGCAAGCTAAAAAGTTTGCCTGACCACGGTGGGAATCGAACCTACGACCTTTGGGATACTAGTCGAATGCTCTACCAACTGAGCTACGAGGTCAAATCGGTTCGAGTGTGTGGTATTTCGGAACAAAGTCTAGTACCATGTATCATGATACTCGTCCCCAGTCGTCTCTGTGAGCACGCGCTTTCCTTTTCAGTTTTCCACGCGCTCGCATTTGCGTGTGTTTCGCAATATGTCTCGCAATATCTCAAATCTCACTCGCTCTTGGTATTGCTTTGACTTTTACATTTCTTTTAAATTTTTGTTTTAAATTTTCAAGCAATTTCTCGAGCTCTATTTCCAAGACCTTTAGAGACGACTGGGGACGAGACCGACGAGTCAGCTAGTATCATGATATCTTGTGTCCACTGTGGTCATGCAAACGTTTTAGCCTGCCCGGTGTGGATACATACTCAGAGTAACATCACAAACATTATATTCACCTGAGTGCATCATACCAAAACACACACCAAAAAATCATATATTATAGATATTACGGCCATCCTGGTCAGTGTGTGGCCCTGATCAAAATCAAGTGACCCTCAGCTCATGTAACTAATCTCCATGAAATATAATTTATATCGTTTCTGTCGATATAGCAATGAACTAACATGATAAAGTTTTGTTGAGAATACTATCCTGCTGTTCCTGCATTGTGGCATGTTTCTGCACTTAAACGTTAGACGAAACGTCAAAAGCTCTCACTTGGTCTATTTCCCCACTGCCTAATCGTGAAGTGTCGGGTTTGACCGGAAAGACCTCTTCGAGTGAGTCCAAATGAAATCCAAAATCATGCATGAAATGATGAAATAACTAGCATTCACAAACTGCTTGTTTACATTGCCATGTACTCAAGAGTCTTTCTAGAGAAGACAATGGCAGCCCAAAGTTCAGATCTTAATGTAAGGACTTAATAAACCCTTGCGACGGATGCTCAATATTTAAATGCGACTACCATTTCCCCTTCACAGCATCAAGAGTGGGTTGTAGCGAAGTAGTTGTAGTTCGCTACTGTAGCGAACTACAATTTTCAAGTAGCCAGAGTTTTTGACTACATTTTTAAAACAGTAGCTGTAGTTATAGCGAACTACAAAAATTTTGTAGTCAACCCACCCTTGCACAGCATCGCCAAAACCTTTGCACATGAGTAAATGCACGCTTCCTAAAACTTTAGCTATAATTTTGTTTCCTGCATATGTCGTCGTTGTGTTAGCTTTTTGCGTGTAGTTGCCAACTTGAAAAGACGCAATGAATGACGAACGATGATAGAAAGCGTGGACGAACAGCAAGCTTATTAACGTAATAATGTAATGTAATCTTGAAGTGTTTGTGGTAGTCGGTAAGTAGTGCCAATAATATGAACAAGCTTTCATTGGTGTGGATGCAACAACTACCGGAAAATATAAAAAAAATTTCGACGTTTTGAGGCTATAGTATAACTCCAGACGAGGTGCTTTCGCTCGAAATTCTCCTTATATTTTCTCCTTATAATCGGACCATTTGCATTATAGACTATAAATTTTGATCTAGACAAGTCTAGACAAAAATTTCATCACAGCTTGAAAGAGCATCACAAAATTAGTAATATTCCGAAGTTTTGTTGCGAAATGTTGTAAAATGCGGATAATATAACCTTGCAAAGTTTTCCGTTTTTCAGTCATTTTGTATTACGTACGGGAAATTGAAGCCCAATCGGGTGTTGGGGCATCAATTTCCCGTTTGTAATCTAAAATAACTGAAAATTGCAAATTTCGCAAGGCTATATTAATATCCGCATTTCACAACATTTCGCAACGAAACTTTGGAATATTACTAATTTTGTGATGCTCTTTCAAGCTGTGATGAAATTTGTGTCTAGACCAAAATTTAGTCTATAATGCAAATGGTCCATTGGCACTATACTTACTGACTGACACTCAAGATTACTTTACATCATTACGTTAATAGTTTACTGTTCGTCCATGCTTTTCTAGCATCGTTCGTTCATTCATTGCGTCTTTTCAAATTGCAACTACACGCAAAAGCTAAAACGACGAAAGCCTCAAAACGTCGAAATTCTCCTTATATTTTCAGGTAGTTGGATCCCTACAAGATGTGAAGAGGGGGGAGTTGAACTTCGTAATCATGTTCTTGCGTTTTCTGAAGCAATTCGTAAAAGAATTGCACTGACAATTCGTCCCCCTCCAGTTCCGGCGTCCCTGTTCATAATAATGTAAAGGCCGATTTACACAACACAATTTTTGCCTAAAACTGTCGGATGCAACCTGCTCAAAACTTGAGTTGTACAGTGTATTCTAATCTTAACACAACTCACCAACGTTGTCGTTAGTGAGTTGTGTGCTTGATTTACACAGTACAACTCAAGTTGTAAGCAGGTTGCATACGACAGTTTTGTTGCGTAGTGTGAATCTGCCTTAACATGTCGAAGTAGGAAATGAAAGCATATATTAAAATGAGAGCATACAAAATGTTATGTAGTGTGAATCTGCCTTAACATGTCGAAGTAGGAAATGAAGCATAAAATGTTATGTAGTGTGAATCTGCCTTAACATGTCGAAGTAGGAAATGAGAGCATATATTAAAATGAGAGCATACAAAATGTTATGTAGTGTGAATCTGCCTTTACTGTACATGTCGAAGTAGGAAATGAGAGCATATTAAAATGAGAGCATACAAAATGTTGTGCAGTGTGAATCTATACAAAAGATTTACAGTTGCTCGATTGTTCTCCCGACCTTCATCAGGCACTTAATTAGTTCCTTTCTTGAGAAGCCTCTCCAAATAATTTATGCAAAAACCTAATTTATTTCCTACTCGGAGATCCGTCTGCTCATGTGTCAGATCCTGGTCAGATAATAAAGATATCACTGATTTCAAAACACTGGATAGTGCCATGCTGAAAACAGGCATAGCAGTGGCTGGCATATACCGTGGCTATATATAGACTATATATGGCTATCATATCTTCCGTTAACATACATGCAGCTGAAGTATACCGCTCATGAGACTACAGCGCCCGTAAAGCTCTCCAAACAAATGCTATGAAACCATGTCTCTGAGTTAGATGAAACTGTCAAACTGAAATTCGTTTATTCATAGCCTAAATGGACCTTTCCCCTTATAACTAAAATTTTGATCTAGACAAAAATTTCATCACAGGTTGAAAGAGCATCACAAAATTAGTAATATTCCAAAGTTGCGAAATGTTGTACTGATGCGGATCAATATATAGCCTTGCGAAATTTGCCGTTTTTCAGTCATTTTGTATTACGCATGGGAAATTGACAGCCCAATCGGGTGTTGGGGCATCAATTTCCCGTTTGTATAAATACAAAATGACAGAAAATTGCAAATTTCGAAGGGCTATATAGCCTATATTATCTGCATTTTACAACATTTTGGAACGAAACTTCGGACTATTACTAATTTTGTGATGCTCTTCAAGCTGTGATGAAATTTTTGTCTTTATACAGTAGACACAAAAGTCTTCAAGCTCTCTATCCAGGAATCAAACTCTTGAAAGAAGAGCTATATGAAGTATTATTTCCGCATTCTCAATTAATCTTTTTGTATGTCTGATAAAGGTGTGACCACAATTTAATAAGCGAAATAAGAACGGTTTATTTTTGGACCAATTATAAAGACCAAACCTAAAGTTCTAGCTGAAACATGCTTCTGTACAAAAGATGCACGAGAAAACATGTACTTAGATATTGGTACGGAACTCGACAAAACGTTTTTATTTATTGAGGTTTCAAAAAAACAAAACAACAACAACAACAACAACAACAACAACAACAAAACGCACAATTACCAGTTCCAGACCTCCTGAGTCCCTATATCCATCAGAGGCCATGTGCATTTATAGATAACGTTTGTATTTGTGAGTAATACTTGTGTTTATTGGGCATTACAAAAACATCTCCTGAGGATCACGGCACGCTTTTAGCCGAGCTTTTAGCCTTTCACGCTTTGCGTCTGCGGTTCACGACTTGTATTCTTGTCTATTGCACCGTAGCTTGTATGTCGTTATTTTCAGGTCAGTGTGAACGCCTGAGCAGGCGTCTTGTTTGTATAGATCATGCATGTACGCGTGATATTTGTAAAATTGTGACTTTTTCAAATTTCCAAATGTTTGGGTGGATAAAAAGTGGATAAAAGCTATTTACCTGTTTAATTCGGGGGTTTTCTTATTATCATATAAAACAAACTCGCCTCGGCGGCTCGTGAGCCACTTTTTTGTTCTTCCCACACCATTAATTAACAGACAACGGCAAAATCTTAAATATATCATAATCGTACGCTTGCCAATCAGAACAAAGAAATTTAATTCAGATATTCAGATATTCTAATTTAAGATACTCTATAACGTGGAGGATTCTGGAATGTCATAATTCTACAGCATATGATGACTTCTAAGGGGTACTAGAATCAATCAGGCATACTTGAAATGAACGATTAAATATAGATATTAATTACGGTCTTTCCCCGCACACTGCTATTATAATAATTTCCCCATTGTGCATTTATAGAAATAATTTCCTACGATACGAGTACTTGGCAGAACATTTTGAAATTCCAGAAAAATCTAACAAAACTGTAAATTTTTTAAAGCATATTTTGCATTGCAGTGGTGTATGTTAACACATAAAACTGAGTGTGATCAATGTTTAAGATGAGAGACAAATAAAGTTAGGGCGTATTTCATATGATATAGGTATTCTCACACTCTAAAACATGCTGGTTAAAAATTTCCTGGCTAATCTAAAGGTAATTCAACTGTAGGTCCCTGGCTGGAATTGAACCTGCGATTCCGTTTCAATGCTCTAACCAACTGAACTACAGAGGCCAGTTGCCGAGCTGTAACCATGCACTAGTTCATGTATACAGCTATTTCAATTAAGGTTGTCCACGAGCAAAGCGGAAAAGTCGAATACGAGCGAGAAAAACTGCTGGGAATCGCTATGAAAATTCATTAATTTGTTTTAAAAATTCATGTATTCGACTTTTCCGCTTTGCTCGTGGACAACCTTAATTAAAATAGCTGTATATACATGGCATGAATTCGATTATGAAATTAGTGAAGTTATGAAATTTGAGTTATGAAATTTGATATGGATCGTTGCCACAGTTCAAACATTTTAAATTAATTTGTATAGTAACGATGATGTTAGAACAAATGTTAGAAAAAAGTCAAACCTAATCCAGAATCTTGCAACATCAGACAAGATTACATAATGTCGAAACAAACTCAATAATGATACAACGCACGATGCATCCAACAAGGTATGTATATGCATGGGCCTTTATGCATGGGGTGATGTCAGACCAACATGGTTAGTTCATTTTTCGATTTGGTCTTTATAGTGTTTTCTAGATATATGCCGGCATAAATTCGTGGTCACCGTGAAAACCACATAAAAAATATTCCTAGTATTATAATTACCGGTCAAGTGACGTGATAGGTTATGGGAATGTTGCTCCCTGTCATGAATGACCTATAGAGATACTTCCTCAATACATATCTGATGAAATTCGCATATATGGAATGCATCGTATGCTTGCCATGCATGCAAAATTAATATGATACTGCATGCAAACAGCTGCTGGTCAACGATATATATTGATGCAATGTACTGGAGCAAGCAAATAATGTTTCATAAATTAAATTAGTATTTGCCCGACCGAACATGTTCGTGCATGACAATTTGTAATGAACTTGTTAAATTCATATAATTTTCAATTAATACTTTGTAAACGCGTAATTGAATATTAAATCGTCATTCTTTCTAGAGTTTGCTGCCATGTGCTATTAAAAAGGGGTTTAATTAATATTGGACTTTAAAAATCAGCTTCAACTAAACATTAAAACGCATTAATTGCTTGTGTGCATGGGAAAATGAAATTTAAATTTGAAAATATCACTGATGTTTCCAGACGGAACTTATATATCATTGTATATATAACTGACACGCTTCCATACTCGAGTATCACCCGATAATCCAGCGATTTCTTTACGGTCCTTCTCGCAGGCTCGGTAACTTCCTTTTATGGAAATAATTTACATTCCACACTTATGATCATCCATTATATAAGGTGGAGTTTGATTGGGGTGTATGTCATTAACATTGTACACTCGAGAGAGCAGACATCAAAATATTAAAGTAAACTAAGTCTAAGACTTCCAAATCTCACTATGGAACATATTAAAGAAATAATAGAAATTGAAGAATCCGAAGAATTATCTTGGAAAGATTACGCTATAAAGCAAGGCTATTTGGTCAAGTTTAATCGCGGTCTACTGAAAGCACCAAAAATGCAATATTTTGTTCTAACAGACATTGGACTCATCTCGTTTGAAAGCAAACCGAAGCACGACACTAAACCGCTTTGCTTCCTACCTTACAAGCAGCTATCTTCGATCAAACTTGACCACATCGAACTGAACAGTTGTAAGCTTTGTTGCATGCAACTGACAAGCAAAACAAGCCCGAGCTTTACACTCGCTTTCAAATGCAAAGAAGATAGGGACGATTGGATGATGATTATGATGAAAGCCTTCTCGGAGGCGCTCTTAACGACGAGTGTTTTTGACAAATCATCGGAGATTATCGATAAGAACAACGCAAGCCAAAGTGACGATTCTACGACGAAAGAAAAGCCCGAACGCAATGTCAGCACACCGATGAAAAAGAAGCTCCAGCAGAAACTCAGCACGGGCAGTTATGGACCAAGTTTGAGACGGAAGCGCAGAAAAGGCGACAAGGGCAGCATTCGAAGATCAAAATCATATGATTCGCTGGCTCTACACGATGTTACAAACACTGCATTCACTTTCCCCATGAAATTATTAACCGCAGAGCCCGCCAAACCCGAAACTGAAAACGCCTTCCAACCCCAGCAGTCGAGGAAACGCAAATCCGAGCCAGATATTCACGTCACCGCACATTCTCCTAGCGCGAAGACGACAGATAGCAAGGAAAAACTCTTCGCAAACTCTTGTAGTTTTGAACACAGAGACTCGCTGACCGTTGAAGCCGAAAAACAACTTAAGAGCAAAAATGACGCAAAACACAAGACAAACAGGTTCGCGAAACTTCTATCGATGTTCGAGAATCCGGCTTTGTTATCTGCGCACTAAAATCGAGAACACTGAATGACTCTTAATTTATTTCATAATGAAAATACTGAGTGGCGATGCCAGCTTGTAAATAATATTTATTTAATTTATCAATAAAATGTTATTCATTATCTATATGCTTGTGTATCTTTTAATTTATGTATCTTAAAGTCTCCGACGTGTAGTAGACTACGGTCTACAATGACAACACTGCGAAACCGACTCAGATTCAATTGCCTTTTCCAGCAAAGGTCCGTATGAAAAGGTAACTTTCTTGGTAGCTTTGGTAGCTCGAAATTTCAAAATGTTTTTAATCCAGCTGTAACCTTTCGCATTCCAGTTTGAACATGCATTTTCAGATGAAATATTTCGATATTTCGCACCTTCCCAACTCAATTTTCTGTATACTACGAAATGTCCCTTTCTGAATATTAGTTCTCCTATTATGCGAACCTTTAAGCTGTTTATGAGAAGAAAGTTTGCCCCATTGCATCACAATTGAAAGCATATTGAAATATGGCGATGTCAGCAAAAAGAGCTAGGAAAGGCTGATACCTTAAAATTTGTAACAATTAATAAGTGCACTTTATATGCAAACATTTTGGTAAGTCCTAATATGGTTGTCATGACAACTCGCTAGTTAGCAGGTCTCTCGCTTTCTGTTTAAATGATGGCACTAAAAATTTGGAGAATAACTTCGTTCCAAAAACACCTTAATTCAGTGGTAGCAATAACATCGGCCATAAGCATGCATCAAACTGATAACTTTCAATGCATTGACATTTGAGTACTTATTTCACTTAAAATTTGTAATAATTAGTTTTATAAGTGCACATTATATGCAAACATTTGGGTACTTATTTCAGCATATATTATAGATGATTCTGATGTTTCTTTGAGTATCTATCCACACCAGGCAGGCTGAAGTGTTTGCCTGACCATGGTGGGAATCAAACCTACGACCTTTGGGATACAAGTCCAATGCTCTGCCAACTGAGCTACGTGGTCAAGTCGGTTCGAGTGTGTAGTATTTCGGAACAAAGTCTAGTACCATGTATCATGATAAGTCTAGTATCATGACATTGTTTGTGCGTGTCGTCCCAAAGGTCGTGGGTTCGATTCCCACCGTGGTCAGGCAAACATTTCAGCCTGCCCGGTGTGGATACATACTCAGAGTAACATATCAGAAACATTATATTCACCTGAGTACATAACACCAAAACACACACCAAAAAGTCATATATATTATGCATGGATATACTGCCATCCTGGTGTGTTTGGCGGCGGTCAAAACCAAGTGCCTTCATGTAATATCATTTATATCGTTACTGTCGATATAGCGATGAAAACATGATAAAGTTTTGTTGACAATACTATCCTGTATTGTGGTATGTTTCTGTACTTAAACGTAGATGAAAAGTTAAAACCTCTCACTTGGTCTACTTCCCCGCACTGCCTAATCGTGAAGCAGGCCCGTAGCTTGGGGGTGGCCTGGGGTGGGCAATGCCCCCCCCCCACTCGGTGGGGCAGTGCCCCCCCAGTGCCCGCCCACTCCGAAATTTGGTATGAAAAATTGAAATAAAGGACCTGGAAACCAATTGTAATCATGGGAAAAATTCTGTAAATTTTGTAGTAAATTTTGTGATGTTTTGAAAAATTTTGTTAGGTTTCGGAAAAATTTTGTATGTCCGGAAAAAATTGGTATGTCCGGAAAAAATTTTTGACCCCTAAAATGGTACAATGACCGAAATTTTTTTGGCGACGGGGGGGGGGGAGGGGGGCGAGGTCACCAAAATAAATTTCGGAAAAAATTTTTTCTCATCTCAAACCGTCTGCTACATTCTTTCTGCAGTGAGTGCCCCCCCAGAAATCGAGAGCCAGCTACGGGCTTGTCGTGAAGTGTCGGGTTTGACCGGAAAGACCTCTTCGAGTGAGTAGCTATGAAATCCAAAATCATGCATGAAATGATGATTAAATAACTAGTATTCACAAACTGCTTGTTTACATTGCCATGTACTCAAGAGTCTTTCTAGCGAAGACAATGGCAGCCCAAAGTTCAGATCTTAATGTAAGAACTTAATAAACCCTTGCGACGGATGCTCAATATCTAAATGCGACTACAAAACCTTTGCACATGAGTAAATGCACGCTTCCTAAAACTTTAGCTATAATTTTTTTCCTGTATGTCGTCGTTGTTTTAGCTTTTTGCCAACTTGAAAAGACGTAATGAATGAACGAACGATGTTAGAAAAGTCATTTTGTATTACGCACGGGAAATTGACAGCCCAATCGGGTGTTGGGGCATCAATTTCCCGTTTGTAATACAAAATGACTGAAAATTGCAAATTTCGCAAGGCTATATTAATATCCGCATTTCACAACATTTCGCAACGAAACTTTGGAATATCACTAATTTTGTGATGCTCTTTCAAGCTGTGATGAAATTTTTGTCTAGACCAAAATTTAGTCTATAATGCAAATGATCCATTGGCACTATATACTTACACCGACACTCTAGCATCGTTCGTTCATTCATTGCGTCTTTTCAAGTCGCAACTACACGCAAAAAGCTAAACCGACGACGAGCGAATTAAGGCACTTCGTCTGGCGTTACTAAGCCTCAAAACGTCGAAATTCTCCTTATATTTTTCAGGTAGTTGGATCCCTACCAACGAAAGCTTGTTCATAATCAGGGACGTCGGAACGATGTGAAGGCAAGGGAGGGGGCAGATTTTCGTGAAAGGGCACTTTTGAATTGATATATGGCTAAGAGATGTTTGCAAAACATCGGGAGTTGAACTTCGCCTAATCATGTTTTCTATTTATTGGATGATAGGGGTGTGAGGGGGTTCTCCGTCAGGCCATCATGTGCTATTCTAATTGAAGCTCGATGACTGCATTTC